TAATGAATTTCATATATTGATATAACTTCTCTGAAATATGCATCAGTACATTATATGCGCACTCAAATCCACCACTATATATATATATATATATATATATATATATATATATATATATATATATAAAGAGAGAAAAGATGTATATATATATATATATATATATATATATATATATATATATATATATATAGAGAGAGAGAGAGATGTGTATATATATATATATGTGTGTGTGTGTTCTATAAAATATCCTTTCTCTGTCTAGTTTCAGTCGACTTTCCTCCTATTCAATTATCGACACCAGCCAGCTACTTACCCACCTCCCTACATACTGAGCTGCTTCCCATCCCACCCAAGTCATTCTATATAATTGTTTCGATCACCTCAACAGACTCTAACGCCATATTACGCATATCCCCAGCCACCCTTACATTAAAATGCACCCCCCTACCGTCAGAGGATTCGGCAACTAAGCGACACATTCTCCCGTCTGTCTCCTCTTGCAACTCATTCATGATTAGTGCCGCTTGATTTGCACAGCGTTCTGCAAACATAGGGCATAAAAGCGAACTTTGGTTGGCGTTCACTAAGACCTGATTAAGCAATAATAGGAAGAGAGCCTTGCCGAGGCAAAGAGAACGAATGTCGCGCAGACAGATGTGCCTAAGACAATTGATTGTCTTTCCGAAAACATTTCTTTTGCTAGAGATTTGGACTGTCTCCAGACATTAAGACGCCAGCTTTTACGTTTGTGTCTACCAATGGTCACATTGACTGTCACAGGTTCCAAAGATTTAAAGAAATATGATAGTTTCTCCTTGTTCTCGAATATGACCATAACAAGTTATCATTGTAAGACCTCGTTATGCTTTAAACTGATGTAGCCAAAATACAAACTCAGCAGAAATGAGAAACTTACATTTTGCTGTCATCTATATAATGTGACTGTCAGTGTGTCACTGTGTCACACTTTCTTCAATAAAAGGGACACAACTTTATATTTTTCAATAGCTCATATTACAAAAATTTTGCCTTCCCATATTTTTATTACTGCAATTGTTTTCTACGATTTTTACGTGATTTTTTGCGACATATTTTGTACGATTGCAATTTTTATGGCTTGGAGATAATCGGAATTAATTACGAAATCTAGCGAAAGTAAGTCTTGAAATAAAAATAATTCTTTGTGTGGAAGGTAAGGACCTACGCATATTAAATTGTTTTTTTTTTTAAATTAAGTGTCGTCAGAAGAATTATCGTTGAACTTTTAAAAGGTAAGCTTAAATATTAATGCAATACTTAAATGCAGCGATCAATTTTGAGATCTTCCGTAGTTTATAGTCTAGAGAACCAGATGGCAATCAAAAGAGCCAAGACTGCAACGATGAAAAGAAAGTAACGCGCAAATGAAAACCCAGATCAAACGGCTGTCAGGAGAGCTTTCAATGCTAAGAATATGGAAAACTTAGGAACATTCAAACTCCTAGAGAAGCCGAAGGCACAATCAATAGCCTTCCCCAAATGCTAGCTTAAATTCCACCTGAAAGGGCTGTTTTAAGCTCGTTAGGTATATTTTTGTGATAAATGTATTTTTTCCATCAGCTGATTTGCAAACTTTTCCACAAAAGTGACATGAATTATAATTAATTAATACTATCTGTTTATATTTCTGGGATGACGTATTATGTACACTATTTACATTATTCGGACTGTTGCCCGCATCTTTGTCGCCATATTTATTACAACGTTTCGGCCGCTGTACGCTCCGGCCTTCTTCAGGTGGTTGGAATGTCGAACTGAACCCTTTATTTCGCTCACTGTGGTAGACTGTTCTAGTTCCACGTGCCGAACCGTTGTAATAAATATGGCGACAAAGATGAGGACAATAGTCTGAATAATGTAAATAGTGTAATTAATACTATTTTGTAATTGGTTGGTAATCTGCTACGATGAAGTCACATATGATTTAATTTTCCTGCTATAAACAATTAAAGCTGATCACAAACATTACGACATTTTTATTTAGCTTTACTTTCATAATACGATAACTTTTGAAAGCAACCTATCCTTCTTATTTGCATGGAATTACCAGTCCTATTTATTAATGTTTTAAATGTTCACTGGTTCTTTTCATCATTATAACTTTACCTTGGCTCATGAGTTGGTCGATTTCCGTGAGAAAAACTCTCTATACAAAAACTAATTTAGAATCCTGTTGTCGCTCATGCGCAACCCGTGTGTCAGAATTGTTGTTTCAACGTCGTTGCATTGTCTTCTTTTAATCATTTCTACATACTTGACAGATGGGGAAAATAGATACACATACATACAGAGATATATACATATATACAGCTATTAGTTTGTTACATAGATAGATAATAAACATACTGAGATCGATACATACATACATGCAAATATACATACATAGATAACGACCAATCTGAGATAGATAGATAGATAGATAGATAGATAGATAGATAGATAGATAGATAGATATGCACATAAACTGTGAAAAACTAAAAAATAAAATCGATGAATACAAAAAGAAAAGTTTGCATTGTGTATCAAATCTGGGCTCCAAATCGGGATTTTATTTTCTATATAATTAAAGAAATCACGATAGCCTGACGAGAATTCTACCTGATATAAACACCCTGAGTTGAAGTTCGCATCCACCGTCAATAAAGCTTAAGAAGATCTCAGTATAACAACAGCCGAGTAGGTTTAAATTTATTTTTCCATAATTTAACGTAGAAATAACTGAAAGTTGCAAAGAAAGAATCAAATCAGGAATCTAGAGGAAGATCCAAATATAATTCAATAATCAATCGAAATATCTTCTTCAATCTTCGATTATCACTTAACATAGAATCTCTCATCACTCACATTTACATTTAATGTCATATTTATTACAGAACATATTTCAATTTTAGCTGAAAAAATGTGTTGCCTCGATTTTACAAGTGGGACGTGCTTGCCTAACCGAAAACTAATCATTCAAATCTCTGAAGTATTTTCTTTTCTTTTATTTGATTTTTTAGCGGCATATCAACCACTATTGGTTTTTAATGCTGTAATCTAAATATTTTGAACACAGTTTTATGGCTTCAACTACAGATAAAATGTACCTTTGGTCATTTTGCTATAAATGTTATTGTTGAGAATTTAGTTTAAAAATGTATTGTTGGTAATTCTAATATAAATATATATCGTTGGAAATACTTTTTATATAATAATGTATTCTTGTATTTTACTATAAAAATGTATTTCTATACGTTTATAATGTTGGGGGTCAACTCTTTGGACAACAGTAGTAAGGAGGTGGTTCTACGCTCCTCAAACTTCCAATCTCCCGATCAGAGGCCTTGCTGTAGGATGTAATTTATCGTCATACCCAGGACTTGCTTTTTTCTGATTAAATCCATTGTCTCTGAACAATGCAGATAAATATATCTGGAGAAAGGTCATATGATCACATAAAGCATATTAGTAAATATCTATGGAACTGAATCGTTAAATATTGCAGAAATATTTGTATTTAGGAAGTTTATCATTCGTCTGAGAAAAACGCGTGTTAATAAAGATCGAACTCCTGACAGTTTGAAAAAGAGGCCTCTTGATAAATGTTCCACTGTTCGAGCCCTCCGTATATAGATTTCTTTTCTCCCCCGAGATCCATCTAGCCACTCCTCTCTTCCTCTTGCAGTTCCAATCTCGGCACGCAAATTAATTACACCAGATTAATTTAATTGCTTCAAGCGTAGGACGTTTTATTTCCCAGATAATTGCATACAGCGTGTCTTCTGTTGATCTGACACTTGGATTCTAGCAAGTCGATGAAAGCAATCAACCTAGAAAGGTGTAGCCAAAGATGTTCTCTTTTCTCTAATTATATATTACGACTTTAGATCATACTTTTAATCTACAACGGAGGATTGTATATTTAGCGTCATTACGAATAGTCTTATTACCGGGGCTGTTTATTAAATCACATGTAAGGCAAATGATGGCTTCGCATCAAAAAGGAATTAATTCCTTGTAAGCTGGATAAAGCTATATTAGTTATACACGTGCATTTTTCCTTGCAAATAGGAAAAATGGATTATAAAGTAACGTCTAACGACAAGAATTACGAAATCGGCTGACGCAGCACACATTGATTGATGGTTGAGTTATTCGTTTTATATGGTTTATCAAGCGTTCTGGGTATGACGATAAACTACATCCGGCAGTAAGGCCTCTGATCTAAACCAACTCTTGCTATTGTTCCCAGGTCAACACTGGCCCGGGGTGGTAGCACCTCTTCGGGTCCCAGCTATGGATAAATGGTCAACCTTCCCCCAAACTCGAATTAAGACACTATGAAAGTATAAACATTTTTATATAAAAAATACCAGCAATATATATTTCATAGTAAAAAAAAAATAAATTTAAAAAAATTACCAGTAATACATTTTTGTAAGTGAAATGCTCCCCCCAAATTTAAATTTCGGCATTAAATGACCCATGAGTAGTTGATATGCCGCTAAACAAACGGCTTATTAACCTTTGATGTTTATTTATACAGAGAACATATTTTTTATTGTAAGAATATCTTTTGAAGATGATAATGATTACTGATACAAGTCTAACTAATTCACCCATAGATGGGGGAGTAAGAAGTGGATTCATACCTTTCCCAACGTTATTTGTGCGTAAGTATAACGAACTCAACTGAAATTTGAACTCGGCTCTTCGATTAAATATTCTGTGCCATTACCCATTACAATACCAGCACATCCGAGATTACAGTACGCGGTATTCCCAAGCAATCAACCATCTAAGTACTGACGAGGCTCGACGTTGCTCGTTCGGGAACCGGTCTTTCAAATAATGTGGCCATAAGCCCTGGTACAGCTCATGTTACAGCTGCAAAATATAGATAGCTTCATGAAATTATTTCTTCATATACCACAATTGTTGTCAGTGAAGATAATTGATCTTTGAAGTAAACTATTCACCCATAGCTATTTGAATAACTTGGCAATCATTTCTGCTTTTTTTCAGGGCGTCGGTGAACATGGCTCTCAATTATTTTTTGTCATTTGCAAATTTCATTAAGGCTTGTCCTCTTATTATTCGGTCAAGTCCAACTCCTGTCATCCATCAACACAATCTCGTTAGACAGAACACTCGGTGTTTAATTCTTGCCTTCAATATGTACTTTGCGTGTCACATTCTCCTAGGCTATTTTTCTTATTACATGTCTAGAAAATATCTACATTCTCTTGGTGATTTTCAGTAGTCAGTTCTCTTTTATTCCTTAAAACATCCTCTTCACACACATGTTCCGACCATGGGATTTTCAGCTTCCTGCTATAGAAGCAGTAAATTGTCCAGCATTCATTGCTGTAAGGAAGTATTCGTATTACATAGAAATTGACTACTCTTGCCTATTTTCTCCTATGCAAATCTCCTTTGTCTTAATATTTTGTTCATTTGATGGAAATCATTTTTCATTGTTCCAATGCCCCTTAGTCTATGTATAGTGTATAATATTTTCTGCCATATATTATAACTCGTTCGAGGTAAGTAAATTTCTAAAATTACCGTCCTTAGATGTCTCCAATGATTAAGTTGCATTCTTCTTTTGTTAAAAAAGAATATGTTCTGTGATCTTACAATTGATAGTCCTTTCTTCTCGCTTTCCTTTAATACCCTTTATATAGTGAAATTATGCGCGCTACTAGATTGGCATATAGGGCCCATCGGTTTACTAATGAAATCATACACAGATGCCCTCAAGGCCACGTGGCACAGTGGATAAAGACGTTAGTTATATCCAGTGACAGAACTCAAAGAGTGTGAGTTCAATGCCTGGTTAAGGCGGTGGAGAATTTAGGGGGTGGTGGGGAATTAACCGGAGATAACTGAAAAATGGCATCCGTTAGACATAGCACGTAGAACTAGAACAGTCTACGCCAGCGAGCGAAATAAAGGGTTCAGTTCAATATTCTAACTACCTGAAGAAGGTGGAGCGTACAACGGCCGAAAAGTTTTAATAAATATGGCAACAAAGATGAAGAGTAGTCCGATAAATGTAAATAGTGATTTCGAAATTTGTCTTCCTTAGATGTCAACAATGTTTAACTTGCATTCTTATTTTGTCAAAAAGAATACTTTCTGAGTTCTTACAATTGATAGTTAATCCTTTCTTCTTGCTTTTCTCCAATACCTTTTATGTAGTGAATTTAGGCCCGCTACTAGATTGGCATGTAGGGCCCATCCGTTTACTACTGAAATAAATAAATACAACAGACATTTCTACTTCAACAGTTTTTTTTTTCTCGCATTTCCCGCCTGTAGAACTTCCCTTCGCTTCCCTGATAAATACAATCTTCAAGAATTTAAATTCAGCATCAATCGCCATCTTATCTCTTCTTGAATCCATTTTTTTTCATTTCCTCAATCTTTCTTATATTCAGTCTTTTCTATCACTTTCACTTTCTGTACCCCCTGCGCAGTAATCGCATTCTTGATTTGCATGGAGTGAAATGATTAAAACCAAGAGTACCTTGATATTTTTTTTCTATTTCTGGCATCAGTACAGTTTCATCTACAGTTCTTTTATTGATGAAATCTGGTCAACCAATAATAAATATTATGATAGACCTCCTTATATGTTAAAGGAATTATGTCTCTAAACCGACGGTTTGTCCTTGTTGTGTATGATACACCTAATTTACATAAGCGGACTACCGACCATATAAATATGGGTTGGTACCGGAAGACGGGGAAGATAGTAGAGATTAAAGAGATTGAATCCAGAGACTCCCGATGCGATTTATCGACCCATTACAAAACAGTCTTCCCAAGAATATACCAAACTAACTTTATTCAACTTTAATACATTTTTGTTAACGTACATTTTTGTGTTGTATTATTCATGTCCTCAGTAAATTTTCCCGGTTATTGTAAGATTTTCCCGTCATATATCGACTAACAAAGAACGAAACCTTTCTTCAACTTTAGATAAGCCAATATCATGTGTAGGTACGAAGACTGTTCGGAAATTATCCAGTCATTTAAGATTTAAGTGTAAATAGCTTACTTAAGGCAAGGTGGGTCGTCTTTGTCAGCTTCTAATTACTTTCTCTGGGACCTCATGCAGCTAACTCCGCGTTTTGTCCACTTTTCTAAACAGACTGTAATGTTCTTTATCTATCAACTGCCTACTGGCGTTTTCTCTAGTGTCATCCACGGTATTTCACAGGCAAGTTTAGATTTTAGAAAAGCCAGAAATCCTAGAGTGTCAAATCTGGAATGTTGAGAAGCTTATATGCTTGAACGATATGACGTTTTAAGAAAATTACTGCTCAAGATATAAAGAAATATATTTGAACACAGAAATTGTGACATTCACAGAGTATATAAACTCACAAAAACTATAAAGAGTCTTGAGCAACTCCAAAAGAGAATGTCGGTTCAATTATGCGTTGGAATGCATTTTCTCTGGGGTTGTCG